AACCAATTTAATTCTGTTGAACAATTGGAACAATCTAATTCAAATGAGAGTTATAATTCATTTGTTGAAGATTTTGTAGATGCACCTGCTATTTTAATTAAAGAATTAATACCATCTACAAAAGTTAAATCAATTCATGAAATTTGAGAAGTTATATGGCATAGGCGCAAAGCTAAAAATTATGTTGTTTTATTTAAGGATAACTCTCATTTATGTACATATCTTGGCCTAATTCAGTGCAGTTTAGTTTGCAGACACTTTTTCCAAATTATGGCTGTATCCAATTATGCTGCATTTCATATTATGCTTATATTGAGAAGATAGTATACTGATGAAAAACAAATTGAGCCAGAATCATAAACAAATCAACAACCTTTTATTGTTGGATTAGGTAATAACAATATGACAACAATTAATGCTGAACAAACTTTTCCAAATTTGTCCTTTCGATTGCCAGATATTTCTTTCAGTGATGTTTATACTAAAGTTAACTACTGCCAAGCTTATGCTACGATTAATGGATTGTCAAAAAAAGCTATTCAAATTGGGCTTGACACTGGTTCTAATGCACTACAAGAACTTGAAAAATGTATGAACAGTTTTATTAGCAAGTACACACCAAAAGGTAAAGAAAAAGTTGCCCAGAAAAGGAATAAAAGTCAGCAAAAAAATGAAGATGAAATATCAAATTCAAGTTCTAGTAACAAAGATTTTATTGCAATTGAAAATCCAATCGTGTATTCAAAAAGGGATGCTCCAAGAAAAAAGTGGTTCAAAAGTTCTAGTGAATCAGAAAATAAAAGCAGGTCTATTATTAAACAACATCCAGAAGCACAGAAAACTAGAAAACCAACTCAGTGTCAACAGTGCAAAAACATAGAACATAATAAGGCTGGTTGTGAAGCATGGCATAAGCGACAGGGTATTTCTTACTCACATTGAAAACATGTTCATAATAGGTATATTATCTAATGTCGGATCATAAGAATTTAATTGCTGAAAGTATGCATTACTACTGTTGTAATTATATTGTCATGATTATTATTTGATGAGTTTTTAATATAATAAGAACACACTGAGTTGCATATATCTAAGCAAATTCAATTTTTGCTTAGCCGCATACAACTCAATGTATTACCTACTATTATCATATACACAAATCATGTCTTTATTGTATGTAGTTTGAAATAAATAGTTCATAGCAGATAAAGTCGTTAAATACTTAATGCAGTAATCTATTGTATTTAGCAAAAATCATATCAAAAACTAGATATTCAAATTAACCAAATTATTAATAGGGAGAATAAGCAGATTTGCTTTTCTAATAGAATATTATATTAAGTTATAAAGTGCATGACTAGATAATATATTGAGTAAGATTGATTCTTTTAGTTTGGATTAGAGTAATGGTTAGTCAGATTAGGATTAGTTATAGTTATTGTATAGGTTGTAAAAAATAACTAAATTTGCTCAGGTTACATGGCCTTCAGCCATGTATTGGTTAACTCGAACAAATTTAGTTATTTTTTACAACCCATACAATAATTATTTTATTGCATAGTGTCTGACATACAATCTCATGCCAATAAGTAAATAAAAAAAGCACAGGTTGTTACATAAGACCTGTGCAATAAGGTTAGGATATTAGTTTGGATTAAGATAAGGGTTATTTCATGTTAGTGTAAGGGTAAGGCTTAGTTCAAGTTATAGTAAGAGTTTAGTGCTAGAGTAAGGATTAGTTCAGATTAGGGTAAGGGTTTAGAGCTAGAGCAAGGATTTAAAGTTAGTGTAAGGGTTAGTTTTAAGTATTGTTGGAATTTTTAGATGCTTTATCGATTTGGTCACATGATATTTGTTATAAGAGCTCAATATTGATATCTAGTATAGTTGCGTAATAGTGATACAAAAATTAGCATAAAGTAATATGTATTGGTATATGGCTTTAGCATAGCAAATTCATGCTTAGAGTGTATAAAAAGTATATCTGATATACTCAAGCATGTGCAATAACTATTTGTAATTGGCTGTTGACACTAGCGAATGGCGTCAGCGTTTCAGTCCCTTCTTAATTGGATACGTCATATGACCTATGAATGGCTTAGTCGATAAGAGGCAGTTAGATTTGGCGAGTGGTATGTTTATGATCATAGGTATTATTATAACGACAGTAGGATATTTTATTATTAGGAACGAATAATATTTGAATCACGAACACTCATTCTATCTCTCTTCATAGGGCTCAAGGCCTTTATTATATACTTTCTTTTACATAGGGCAGGTTATACATTCGATTTATGATACATTGCTTATATTACTTATAACGTCTATACTAATTATACTGATGATAATGTTTATATCAATAATATTAGTTATGTGGTTTATACTGCTTATAATATCTATATCACTGATACTGGTTATATTCTCTATACTCTATATCCCTCTGATACCCCTTATTGCACTAATATACATTATTAGTCTAATGCATAAAATATACAGTATATTGCAGATATAGCATATACAGCATATACCGCTAGTAAACCTATTTCAGATATATGATCTACATAGCTGTTAGTCTATTACTGTGCTGCACTGATCACCACCTTCTGGGATCACAGTCCTACAGCTCACACCATAATTGTTATACAGCAAATATATAGTATATAGTATTTTTAAGCCAATCATATATTGGTAAGTTAATTATATGATGTGGGTATATCTACCTTCAGGTACATGTATATAAATCCAAAATTATAAATTTATAATTATAATTTTTATATCAATATATAATAGAATTCTTCAAGTAATACTAATACATCTAATTTGGCAAAGCTTCTTGCTAAACAATCTTGCATTTTATTTTTGTAAACTAGAGTACAACAAAAAGAACTTGTACTATATTAATAAAAACTGTTATTTCTAATATAGTTAATACACATCCAAAGTGGAATAAAGTTTCAGCTAAATTATAACAATTATTTGAAAATTTTTGTAGTACTTATAATAATGAAATTGCTAAATTAGCAAGTTAATTAATTTGAAAAAAAAGGTAAGGATTATTTCTTTTTATTTTATTTATTATATATTAAAAAAACTACAAAATCTAATATTTAAAACTAATTAATTACAGAAATCCAAGTTTTAATAATATCAAACATTTCATTTCTGAATCAGTATTGGAAAACCTCTTAAATGATATATTGATATACTTAACTATAATAGTTTTTAAGACAATCAAAATGAAGTTAATGTGTTAAAGATTTTTATAGCCAAAAGTCTTCAAATACATGTTGAATATTTGATAACTGAATCTAATAAAGAAAGACCTAATTATACTTCAATAGTTTTAAATCATATTAAAGAATTGGATGATATTACAATTAATTTTACATTTTCTGATGCAAGTTATTATTAATATGCAAATCAGCTAAAACTTAAAGAAGAAAAAGAAAATTTAAATTAATATAATGATTATATAGTTCTTTAAATTAATTAACATAAATATTCATATATATGTTTTTATAAATTGAATATTTATTATATTATGCTAATAAATACATTATATTATGCTAAAAAAATACATCATATTATATTTATAAATTGATTTTTATTACATAATTTATTGAATTTAAAAAACAAAATTTTTGGTAATTAATAGGTAACATATTACTAATATTTTGATAATTTTGTATATAATAGATATCTAAAATTGAAAATATTGCAAATAATATATAATATTGCAAATAAAATAATTATATTAGTCATAAATAATGCAATAATATCACATTTTTAATACCTAATTTATTGGTTTTTAAAATACTAATTTTTTGCTATTTATAATGCCTAAAATATTACTAATATTTTACTAATTTAGAATTCAATTCCTAATTTATTACTTTAAAAGCTATAAAGTACTTTATAATAATTATTATTGACAAATAATTACATATCTCAAATTTTAAAATTTTTGTAAAGTAATTTGTAAAAATTAGAGAACAGGAAGCCTATTTAAAAAGATCTAAATAAAAAGGTAATATAAATCTTTAATAGTACCATTGTAAAAACTAGATCTAAGAAATAGATACCAATACTGAAGTAGCCAAATAGGCAAGAATCCCAGTTTGGAAGTCTTAAAGATATTACTAACTAGACTGTTAAATTAACAAAGAAAAAGAATTCAGACTGATCTAATATACTAATAGACTTGTTATAGTTATATACAAACTATTTGGATTGAAAGTTTGGTAAAAGAAGTAGAAGTATACTAAAGTACTAAAGATATGCTATAATATAGATACTGGGTCTAAGTAAACTTTACAAAACTATAGCAGTTTAATAGTTAGTTTTAACTGCAAGTGTTAGTTTTGCCATAGCAATATCTAGGTTAGCTGTAAAAAATAGGTATATAGCAAACTCTGAAAGGTTTATCTTAAGAATAAAAATGTTTTAAAATTAAGATAAAGAATCTAGGCTTAATCTAGTAAAGTAGCATAAGACAGGTTTAGAGGATTAAATAAAACATCCAAGCAGAGAGGTTATATCTAGCAATTGTTAGAAAATATTAAACAGACTTCTTAAATAGATAATATAGAAAGTTATATAAGTGGTCAATTGTATGCTCTTTCTGTAATAGTTTATAATAAAACTATATTTTTAAAATATGTTAATAAAGTTAAAAGACCAAAGAGGTCATCTTAATGCCAAAAAAAAATAAAAAATAAAAATAAAGTTTTAAAGTCTAACTAATAAAATTATATATTTTTATTTTTGATGCTAAAATGTCTTTTTGTTCTTTTAACTTTTATTAATAACTTTTTTTAATAATGTAATTCAGTAAACTACTACAAAAAAGTATACAATTGACTACATGTATAACTTTTTTATATTATCTATTTATAAAGTCTGCCCAAAGGTTTTTTACTAATTGTTATATCTAATATTACTGCTTAGATGTTCTACTTTAAATCTTATAAACATGCAATCTGTGTTAACATTAATAGGTCATATACAAATGCCAAGATTTTTGTCTTAAGCTTAGGACTATTTTATCCTTAAGATAAACTTCTGTATCTATTTTTATAGCTAAACTCAGTATTACTATAACAAAACTAACACTTACAGTTAGTATTATATTATTTAATTGCTATGTTTTTATAAAGTTCATATAGACTCTAATATCTACTTTATAGCATAACCTCAGTATTTTACTATATTTATATCTTTTTACTAGACTTTTAATTTAGATAAACTATGATCAGTTTACCAGTATATCAGGTTGACCTAATATTCTTTTCTTTTAGTTCATTTTAGTAGTCTAGTTGGTAATATCTTTGAGACTTTTAATCTGAAGTTTTTTACTCATTTGGATATATAACTAGGTACTATGACTTTGGTATTCATTTTCTTAAACTAGTCTTTACAATAGGGCCATTGAAGATCCAGCTATCTTTCTATTTAAATCTTCTCAAATAGACTTATTGTACTTAATTCTAATAGATTTATACAGTTACAAGAACTTATCTAGTGTTTGTATTACTAGATTGTTGATTTGCATTTTTCTATACAATGCTATACTTATACAGATGCCCAAAACCTGCCAGTTATGCTAATGCAACTGTTATTACAAGTATTTTAATCTAATTATTAGTAACAATTGTTATAATATAAGTATTATATAGATGATAATTCAAATTTTTCATTATAGATAGAATTTGAATATTCAATCTATTTATTAAGTGGTTAATAATCTAATTACTTCATTAGATCACCAAATCCCTTCTAACTAACTTATACTTTTATATAAATATCTTTATATTTAATTTACAAACATATAATATTTTTATTGACATTGTTTAAATTTTTAAAAATAATATACAGATTAAGTTTAATGTTTTTATATTATATACCAAACTCTATATAAGCAGAACTAGCAATACTTATCTTCTTGTTTTTTATTTTACTTACTAATTATCAAATTTATATTTATTATAATAGCTTATCTATGATATAAACTTTTACCAACTCAAAACATTATAACTATAATTCTCAAACCAAATAAAATAATTAGAATATTATTTATATTCTAAATTATTTAATTAAACTTAAAAATATTAATTATATTACATATAAAGTTAAATTACTTTTAAATAATGCTCTATATAACATAATTAATGTCTTAGTTAAATATAGTATTAAAAAAATTGAACTAAAATTTAATATTAATTACTTTTATCTACTTACTTTTTTTACTTAAAAACAAATACCAATCATATAAAACTATATAAATTTTGCAAACCTTTTTCACAATTCAAATATTTAACAAGCTTTTTTAACTTAAACTATTATAAAATCTTTTTGCTATAAATATTTTACTATTTATTGAAATTATTAACTCTTAAAATTTTAATTCTAAATTATATTCTATTAGAAATAAAATACTTCTTAATAACTTAATAACAATGTCAAATTTAAATATTCTTTACTTTTTTTTTATTTAATTTAAATTGCTCATATTGTAATAAATATAAAAATACTAAATATCTACTTTACTTTTATAATTTACAAAATACTCTTATAAATAAAATTACCAATGCTTTAAAATTATTAAAACTTTTAGAAGCTTTATTATATATAATAATTTAAATCTTTAATTTACAAAACCTTTTTTAAATTTTATTATATATAATACAATATTTTTATTTATTTAAAATACAATAATCTTTGACTAATATAAACAATTTTAATTTATTCTAAAAAAACTAATTAATAATTTTTTATTTTTTTATTTTATTTTCTATTTAATTAGTTTAACTTTATAATTTAACAAACTTGAAATATCAAACAATATAAATAAGAATTAGTATAGGAAATTATTGTTTCTATAAAAAAAAAACAATATCTTGTTATCTATTTTATAATCTTTTAATTTTAATAATACTAACTTCATATTTAATACTAATATAAGTCTTTTTATTTTTAAAACTTTTTCTTAAAGTTTTACTATATACTTGTTTTTATTAATTAAAATAATCTTAAAAATTTTTTTTATTCTTCTTTGTAATTAATTATTACAATAATTAATTTAACTAATAAAAGAAAATTAAAAAATAATATTATGCTATAAGTTGTAAATAATATAGTAATCATAATATAGTTTAGAAATAATTTTTACTAATACATTTATATCTAATTAATATATTTATAAATTACTATTTTTTTATTTAATATTATATAATAATAATAAACAAAAAAAATAATTAATTTATAAATATATTAAAAAGTTTAATTTTTTTAATTTTTTTAAAAAATTAAATACTTTAAGTTTTTTAAAAAAATATATAATCATTTTTTAAAAAAATATATAATCAAAAATTAAATTAATTTTTTTTTAAATATGTTTTAAAAATTTTCAATATTGAATATATTTATTTAATTACAAATTAATATATAAAATTTTATAATTATATTTTAATTTAAATATATCAAGTTAGTATATTGTACTTGATAAGATAACTAATGCATTATATAAAAATAATTTTTTTGATTTATTTTTATATTATATACTGTTAAACTAAAACATATAATTTATAAATATCTAATTTTATTATGTAATTTTTACTATATAATTATTAGTTATATCTTAGATTATAATAATTTTTTTTAAAAATTTAATAATTATATTTATAATATTAATAATAACTATAATATTTATATTGTATATATTAATTATATTTATTATAATTAATATATGTAATATAAACAATAATGATATTATAAGCATAATAATATATATTGTTAACCTACAAAAACGACCATAACTTTTGAACTACTGAACAGAATTCGATGAAACCACTACCATTCGAATCAGC